GGGCCAATCAAATTTTCTTTTTTTGTGTGATATGATCGACGAAAATCATTACCAATTATACGAATGTCCACCATGCTGCGGCAGCAACGGGGCGTGTTGACAAATGATTTGCGTCAACTAATCGACATGGCCTCAGAAAACTTTTCCGTCTTCCTATTGGCAAATTTGAGAATATCTTTACTATATAAAGAAATACCCATGTATTATTACGCCAACTATAAAGTTTCTGGGTTTAATTCCCCAAGTGTTACCTAACCTTCTCTTAAAGTACTAAGGCCTCGACTGATTGACGGACGATTTCTTTATTTATTATTATTATTATGATGATCTCATTTTTGTGATGTAATTTAAAAATCGTAAAAGTCGTCATTATTTATTATTTATTTTATTTTATTTTTATCTCCCCTCTTTTGTTTTTTTTTTTCTTTTTATCTCTTTCTTTTCCAAAAAAACGATTTTCAATCAAATCAATTTTATTTTTTTTAGTAATTTTAGGTAAAATTTGAATAAATTGGATAATTCTTCCCCTGAAAAAAAAAAAAAAATGTAACACCTATTAAAGCCAAATGTTTCACATTTTTTTTAATTTCCCCTTTTAAAAAAAAAAATTCTCCCTCAACTTAAAAAAAATTAAATTAATTAAAATATCTAAACTAATCCTAAAAAATTAAATTATATAAATTATATATATATATATATATATATAAAATGCATACACCAACATTAGAAGCAAAAGTAGTGATTTTGGGAAGTCAAGGTAGAAAATTAAATGTTTTGAATGTTTAAAGCGTGTTTCTTCCTTTAAAAAAAAACTAAAAAAAAAATCATTATTTCATCAAATAAATCAATCGTTAATCATTCAATCAATTCGTCGATCAATCAATCAATCGATCGATCGATCAATCAATCAATCAATCAAGGTGTTGGCAAGACTTCATTGGTAATAAGATATGTTCATCAAACCTTTGCACCCAATTGTTCATCCACGATTGGCGCCTCTTTCATGACCAAAAAACTGTAAGTTGACGATTATCTGGATCTCAATTAGATGTGGAATTGGTTATATCCATTCTATTATATTGACTTGTATTTACATGTTAATTAATTAATTTAGTACTGTGGATAATTATAAAGTGAGACTTCAAATATGGGACACAGCAGGTCAAGAAAGATTTAGATCTATGGTAAATAAATAAATAAATAAATATTATTTCTTTGTCTCATTCATTTTTTATATCTATATGTGTATATGTTTTAATATACAATCATTTCTAGGCTCCAATGTATTATAGAGGAGTAAGTTGTAATATTATTTTTTGGTTCTTTTTTAAAAAAAAACCTCCCGTTAAATTTTTCGTATTTTGACTTTATTATTTAAAACAAAAAGGCTAATGCAGCAATTTTGGTGTATGACATTACATCCGAGGAAAGTTTTCTAGATATGAATTCTTGGATTGAAGGTATACTCTACTACTATTGTTATCATTACAGGTTATTATTGCAATTTAAAGATCTAATAATCATTATTTTATTATTATTTTTTTTTTATTATTATCACACAAGAATTACGCAAGAATATGAATGATGATCTGAGTAAATCCTTGTTTTTTTATTTTTTTTAATCTATAATATCTTAAATAATAATAATAATAGTTCAAGGCAATTTAATTTTATTATTATTTAGTAATACATGTGGTTGGTAATAAAATCGATTTAGCTCCAGATCGACGAGTTATACCATTAAAGAGAACACAGGATTATGTTTCACGTATTTTAGGAAATAATTTTAGTGTACATGAAGCATCAGCCAAAGATGATAAAGGTAATTTATCAATCAATTAATTTAATCAGTTGGATGTTTGTTGATTTGCATATTATAAGTTTATTAATATTTTCTTAATTTGCTTATTTATTTGTTAATTTATTTATTGATATTAGGCATTGAGGAATTGTTTCTTCAGATTACACGTACTTTGGTCGAGCATAAGAATGAAATCGATCGACAAAAACATATTAGACCAAGCCCTATCAAATTTCCTGATGATCAGAAAGAGGAAGTCATTCCAGGTTGTTGTACATCTTGATGCGACAATATAACTACAAGGTTTAAGATATTGGCTCACTCGTAACAAAAAAAAATTTTTAATAGTTAGTTGAATCTGATTGATTTGCATATTATATCAAAGAACAATAAATTTATTTTTTATTTTTGGGCATTGCAGTAATTAATTTAATATAATAACAATATTTGGTGGAAACTTGATGTGATCTGTGTGATTTATATGGGTTAATATAATAGTGAGCAATAATAATAATAATAATAATAATAATAATAATTTTCCTTTGGTATTTTATTTTATTTTTATTATTAGTATTAGTATATTATATTAACCCATTATTTTACTTAGAACAATTTTTTTCTCTGTATTTATTTTTTTTCCTTCTTTTTTTTTTTTTTTCTTGTATTTATCAAATCATAAAAATCATTTTCATTTCAAAATAACAAGAATTTTTTTTTGGATCATTCACTATTTTTATTATTGAAGCTTTTTCAAAAAACAAATTTTTTGTAAAAAGAATGTAAATCACAGGTAATATGACGATGATAACATAATAATAATAATAATAATTATTATTATTATTAAAAATCGGGTTCCCACAATGTTTCAGAAGATAACAACCATTCCATACAGTTTAAAATATATAACTCTTTCTTATGAATCATGTAAAACAGTGTTGGAGTGAAAATGTTTTTGGTGTTCTTCACATAATTTTTATGTATTAAATCATTCAGACCTTTATTTACCATCATTATTTAGCCCAATTTAAATATCAATATTATATATAAAAATATTACAAAGTTTGAACATCAGTGGTCAATCCAGGAAGTCCAATATAACATCCATCTGTTGTTTAACCATTGCAACAACACTTCCGCCATTATACTCTGTAATAGATTGAGGAATCAATTAAAAAAAATTTTTTTTATTATTATTTAGAATTATGTGATCATTTGAAAAACAAAAGTTCAATTTATGCAATTTTCATACGTCACATGATTTTTAAATCCCAATATGCAATCGATCGTACATAAAAAACTAACCAACTTAACTAATTTAATTCATTACCAAAAAAATAAAAGATTTTCTTGAAACAAAAAAATGTATCGTCAACGATTCATTCCAGTTTATGGTCCATTCTTTGATTACGATCGAGAGGGATGTGGCAATTACGATAATATAGATCGCGGATTTGATTATAAGGCTGGTTGGGAAAGATCACGGGAAAAGACTATGATGTAGGGAGATAAATGGTGGTGGAAGAAGAATGGCTATACAAAATAGAATCTTTTGTCATGAAAATTCTAGAATTATGATAGGTCATTGTATGACAGGGTTAGAAAATGTCCACACATTTGCTAACCCTGTTGTGTGAAGACGACATTAAAACAAAAATTATTTGATGTTCATGGCACTCCGATTCTTTCGTGACCCATATTGATTGCCTGCAATGGTGAGTATATAGTATATTCATTCATTGATTTAATTAATTTTGAATAATTATCGTTAATAGTAAAGTTTCAAAAGATGACATCTCGTGTTCGTGAACGTAACATTGGCAAGTTCCTCCTACCAAATGATGCTTCACTTGATCGTGACCACGTTCAAGCAAAATTTGAAAATGGTTTGCTTGAAGTTAAAATTCCCTTCAAAACATATAGAGAATTCAGGGTCACATTGAACGTAAAACAACTGAAAGTGGAATATAGCAGAATTCAAATTCTTGAATATATAATAAAAGAATTACAAATTCTATTAAAATATGCAATGGAATTAATCTTTTAAAACGAAAAGAATGTTGTGTCAAAATAACGATTTAATTTTTTTTTCTTTTACAAATGCATGATGACGACAATAAATAAATTCCTTCTTTTATATTTTTTTGAAATGATGAAATGAGTCAATGGTGTAAAAAATTTTTCTACAAAGATGATTTTAATTAATAAATATATATATATATATATATAGCTCAATAGCCAAAGGATTATACAATAAATAAATATATATATATATATATATATAGCTCAATAGCCAAAGGATTATACAATAATGAAACTATAAAATTTTAACATTATCACCATGACTATAGAAGAAGAAGAAGAATTGCCATTTTTTGACAAAACTATTATTATCGCTCCGGGCACAAGTCTTTACAGCGTTGATAACACTACTCAAGAGCAAGAAGAACAAAGAGAACAGCATAGAATTCTTACATACAACTCATTAAACTTCAACATGAAAACCATTTACCAAATTCGTATATATAGATTTTTGGTGAAATATGATAACTATTACTATATACAAATTTTGACCTACGCATATTTTGACAACGTATAATGGTCAAATTTAAAAATTGATCAAAATATAATGTTTCTTTGCCTTTTGATCTCTTTTATAAATATAATGAAATATTGTAGTAATAAAAGTTGATAAATTTTTCATAAGTGAATTGTGATTCATGAAATTTCATAATTTATTATCTATAGTGTATCACACTATTATTATTAGGAATATATAAATAAATACATTAAATATTAAATATTTACATAAATCATAAATTTTAAATTTTAAATAATAATAATTAGAAAATAGTCATAAGTGCGAAGCAAACATATAATAACCCGATTGGATAAGCGATTAACAGTCGTTGATCTGTCATTTGTAGAACAATTACAAACATCGTAGAAGATGAATATGTGCACCAACTTATTGCAAGTGTTGAAGTCACAAGTCCAATAGGTCCACTGTAAAATTATAATCAGCAAGAAACATTAATATAATTATTTGATAGCAATAACAATAACAATGACAACAATAACAACAACAATAATAGTTACCATAGAGGTATACCAATACCAATACAACTTAATAATGTTAAAGGCAATAGACAATAACCTAATACACTTGCTGTACGATATATATCTATTTCTAAATCACTCATAAGATTCAATATTAAATAAATAGATAACCATCCAAGAAGTGCCACGCCATAGATGTATCCAAAGTGCGCCTTCCCTGTCTTAATTTTATTGATTTGATTTTTTGTTAACAAGACAATTTTTCAAAAGAAACAAAAACCAACAAACAAAAAATTTTCCTTTACCAGTAATAAAGAAACACCAAATATTAAACAATATATAAGCGGTCCTGCTAAATCGGTATCATCCATTATATGTTTATCGATTGTTTTAAGCGGATTCAACACTGCCAAACTCTAAACAATAATCAAAAAAACTTTAGTTTATTTAAAAATTTAAATAATAGTTTTGTTCCCAATTAAATTATTACTTTGGTTTTTATATGTCCAAAATTAATTCCAAGTTCTAAATTTTTTAAAAAAAATATTAAAGATCAATCAAAAGTTAACTCTAGCATAATATTTATTTTTATTTCATTTATAAAACACACATGTACGTACCTTCTAATAATGGTGGCTCGTTAGCAAATCCACCAGTGCCAAATGCGCTCCAAAAACTTCCAGCAGTATGAAATTCATTGTGATGCGTATAGCCTTGAGTAGCTGGTTGTCCAAAATACCCTGTATTTACTTGCGTCGTATAATTGGGATCTCCATAGTTGGTTGTGTAAAACTGTAAATTTTCTGGTGTATTATAGTTGTACATATCTGATTTTTCGAAAAGAACCGAATGAACATTTCCTTGTTCCATAATTTGTTAATTTTGTTGTAGTGTTCTGTGGCTGTTGATCATCAAAACATGTTACATCATATTGTTAACATTGCGTTTTGAGCATAAACTCTCAAATTTGAAAAAAATTGAGAAGTTTTTTTTTACCTTTCTTTTTAATGAATTTAATGAATGGTGGTGGTTTTTTTAAAAATTCAACATGCGGATCACATGATATTCCAAAATTTTTTAATTTTTAATATAAACTTTTGAGTGATCTGCACTGTATTAATTATTACTATTACTATATACTACTACTACTATTATCCTCAATTTTATAATTACGAGATAATCACGTGATTTTATTATTACACATCTTCAAGCGCCTTTTATACCAATGGATATTTTTCTTTATCGTCATCAACAATTTTCGCAACTTTTCAACGAATCTTTTTATAGGAAAAGACTTAGCAAGAGTTTGAAAGTGCATTAGAAGCTGAAGCAGCTTGGTTTTGGACAAAGAGCATTTAGCAGTTTACTGTAACCAATGTGAAAAAAAACCATATAATGAAATGGTATATGTGATAAGTGTGAACAACTAAAATGGAATAAACATTTTAAATGAATCAATCAATAATGTAGATATATAGCTTTGTAAAATCAATCATTTTATCAAATTAATTTTGAAGCTATAAAGGTTAACTGATAAATTTTTATTAATGAAGGGATGGGCAATAAATAATGCTGCCAAATATATTCTCCATCATCATTATAAAAAATCATTATCTGAGCTTCAAGACTTTTTAATTAATGTTACTGACTATTTGAGGCGGGCGAGAGCATGTATAATAATCACAACAGTTATTATTTTGGCTGTATAGACTAGAAATTATTATTTTAATTCTCAAAAGAGTTTTTTTCAAAAATACATGAATTCAAGTTGATTATACACTTGTAAATTAATTAGTAATCTGATTCTATCTGAAAATGTGATAGCCTTATCATTTGATTTTAATGTTAACTTTTATCCGAAATTTTCCAGTTCCGTAATTTCAGATTTTATCCGTCTCAAATAATTATTTAACAACTGAACAATCATCAATAATTATGAAAATTCAAATCTTCGCCACTTGGTAACATTAATAAATAGTACAGTGTTTATCTTCTCGAAAAAAATTTTGAGCTATGACTAGATTAGTTACTGATTTAGAAAAATTCATTTGAGAAGTTTGTGAAGAAGATTTGAAGAGGAACTTAACATGAATAGTGATGGTATAACAATGCATGTAGACACAATTAATCATTGTTTTCTTTATGCTTTTGGTGAATGCAATGAGCGTTGTATTACATGTGATCAGTTATTTGCAATTATCTAAAATTTTATCAAGAACAAAGATTAACAATTGAAGAATGTCATGACAAATTATACTATTTTTTGGCTCACCAATCAAGAAAAGTATATTTAAATAGCCAATTTAAGGCTAATATGGCAATTTTAATTTGTGACTATAAAATGAAAGAGAAACAAAAGAGCAATTTTTTAGTAAATGAGGGTAGACATTACACACAATCCGAATTTAATACTAACCAATTCAATGTCCAAGCTTTTGACTGACACCAAGCAAGATGCTTGGTTTACAGTTTCTTTTGATTCTGTTTTTGAAAATTTAGATACACGACCACAATAGATTGAAGTATTTTCAGACAATGGTGCACACTATCACAACTCGGAATTAATGACTATTGTTGCCAATTGGTACGTACGTACCAATGGTATAATATTAAAGGTCGCAGTTGGCGTTTTTTTGAACCTGGAGAGGAAAAATCAATTGTTGATTATCATCATGCGCAGGCAAGCTTTTATTATGCTGTTATACTAAATTTTTATTATCTTTATTAATAAGAAAGAATATTTTCATTAGATCTCTCATGTCATCAAGAGATATGTACACATTGGCACAATTTGGATGAGGGAAATAAAATAGAAACAGCAATAGCTGGTTTAAGGGGACTTCTATTGCACGTCTAGAACCAACACGCCAAAATAAACCATTGAAGGTATCGCAAAACTACTTTGAATGGCCAATCAAAGATGATTGCGCCGAATTTATACAAGCTTAATTTCTGTCACATATTGGAAATGTTTTACAGTTTTCATCATCAGAGATATCAAAAATGACATATATAAACAAGCCATCACTCCTAATTTCTTCTCATTCAGTGCCAAAGAGAATGGGAGGGGGAAAAAAACATGAATTGTGTTTTATTATATTCCTAGAGATGCGACATGCGCGTGATTTTTTTTCAAGTCATCCAATATTCATACATAATTTTCTTCAAAAAAAAAGCGAATTTTTGATTTTTACCAGGGTATTATTGATTATATTATTGATAGTACTGTGTTTTTAAGAAATGGCAAAATCAAAAATTTGGCCTCATTTGTTAAACTGGGTAGGATGATAATTTCAGTTCCTATTTCATCAGCTTTGCTTCTAGAGGGGATTTGACCACTTTTTCTTTTATAAATGATAAAACGAGAAACAAATTGACACTAAATATGTTTTAAAATGTCTAAAAAATACCAACAATGATAATGTGTATATTACAATTGATGATGAAAATGTGGGAGGCGAAAATGATAAAAGTGATGATGGTGATGATGAAACAATTAGAATAGAAAGTGGTGGAGAAGAAGGCAATGGTAGTGATAACAATATTGAAAATTGTATTTAGATATTTTTTTTTATATTTTTTTTTAGATATACATATATGTTCTAATTTTTTTTAAAAAAAAAAAATTTTAAAAAATGCAATACATAAAATGCGCATAAAAATTTGAAATTTCATCTCTATATATTTCTATAATTTAACAAATAAAAGTTTTCAAAAATAATGTTTGTTAAACATTACCAACATTACCAATGGCAGTTGTTGTCGTCGTCGCCCTTGCCGTTACAAGGTGTTATCTTAAATAAAACATCAAATTCATATTTATTGCCTTGAAAAGGAATTCTTTTCGGGACAAAAAGTGTTAACGCTGTTGTTGTTGTCATTGCTGTTGTAGGTTGAGCGTTGACCGTTTTTTTCCATTTATTTAATATATCAAGTGCCGTTTCTTGGACACTTGATATTTCCGATTTTTTCACCGGTTAACGAACATCTCTAATGATATTGACAAATCCTTGATCGCTTTCAGCAAATAAAGCAAAAACTTGGTATCAGGGATCTTGCTTACTTCCCTGATCCAGTCTCTCAATATGTGGCAACATTTTGTATATAGCCACGATTGATCCTTGGTGTATATTTTCACTTTATAAAGCAATTCATAATACACTCAGGTCATCCATCATTTAAATATTATAGCTTTAAATAAAAAAAAAACAAAATTTCATAAATAACTAGAGTTCAAATTAATAGTTTCTAATATTGTTCAGGGTTCTCTAATAAACTTACTTTAACGTTTCGTAATTTCTTTTCTTCCTTTTGCCTTTTGGAATATTAAACATTTTTTTAAAAAAATCAAATTTTTTTTTTTAAAAATTAAAACAATATTGTTTTAATAATGATTTTTAGATGAAAACGATCTTTTTTTTCGTGTTTCGTGTGTTGTGTTTAGGTTATCTTATCATTCGAGTTTTATAATTGTATTTCCAGAACAGAGAATGCCTGCTGTTCTGATGCAACATTAGTTGCTTGAAATCGTTTGTTTTCAGAGAAATGAAAAGCTGGATTATTAAAATATATACAAAATCTTTTTTTTACCATTTATATAGATTTAAATTCGATGAATAATTTTTAATAACTATTTGTGTCACATCTGATTACGTCAAAGATATTGAATTTTTGTCTATATAAAAAAAAAAAATCTTTGGCTATTAACAAACCCATCTTCTTTAAATTAAATATTTTTTCATGTCTCATGCTTTTTAGTCATTTTTTAAATAAAATTAATTCGCTTCCTTCCAAAAAAAAAATGAATCCTTAGACAATGAATGGCAAAAGTGAAGGAACGAGTAAGTGATATTAGAGGATTAATTCAAGCTTTAAGTTTTATTTACTTGGCGAATCTGTCGGATAAATTAACAAGATTTCTTAAAAACATTATTATTAATAGTTTATAAGTTTCTTCGAGAAGATATCATGGCCAAGTTATTAATATTATAATTTAGACCATGATAATAACTGGTAGAAAAAGATGTAGCTACATCTTGAGGAGAGATGAAGCAAAAATTACTGGTAATGTGACTTATTAAAAATAGCCAAACATCTGCTAATATCATTAGAGATATCATTAACTTGTCATGTCGTTAATATTATAATTAAGACACACGATAGGAATATTTTAGAAAGAATGATTAAAAAAGATTTTCTTATATATTAAGAGATTGGATAAGGGAAGAAGTAAAGATACCTAATATCAATCTGCTGCTTTATCTGATAAAAATGGTAAAACACTTGCAAGTACCGTTAGAAATAAGTTTGAAAAGTGGATTGGGCAGATTGATCAATAACAAAGTTGTAAAAAAATCACCAATACATGGTGTCAGCGAAGTGGCACACGATTTATTAGACGAGTGGAAACGAACGGCCAAATTTCAACCTACTACCATACTTGCAACTCAAACTCAAAAGGCCAAATCCCAAATCCCAAATCCTTGAATTTCGTGGATTGGATGACGTTTAGGTATGAATTTCAGAGGTTAGGGTTTAGGATCGGACTATACTTTGGGCGGCATGTATAACCCAATCACAATTGGTAGTAGAGCTGTTTTCGAAAAACAACAAGGAATCATACTATGGCGTAATCCACGACCGATCAAAAAGCAATTACCACCATTATCTGAAACGAAAAGACAAACACATCGGATGAATTTTTTTAAAATTCTTGGGTAACTCGGGATGGTTGTTGTTGTTATTATTATTATTATTGTGGTTGTTATTGTTGTAAGTAGTTATATTTCTGTAGAATGGGCCATGAGCCATAAGATTTATTTTTTTAGAAAAATAAAAATATAATTTGATAAAATAAAAATGCATAATAATAAATAAATTTCCTTATGGTCGCTAATTTCACAATAATGTCAATAATGTCAATTTGAAATTCACTCGAGGTTTTGAATCCACATACAACACAACATTACCAACATTACCATATAAAAATGTCTACCAGAGAATATATCTTCATTCAATCAGGCAGTAGAACAGTGGACAAATGGCTCCAAGAATCATAAAATCTGATTATAAAGACTATATTCCAAGACTCCAAAAATATCCTATTCAGAGATTTAATATCAGAATCTAATTTGCCCTCCAAAAAATTGGAGATAATGAGGTTGTTATGTGTATATGTAGCAACCAGACAAAAAAAATCAATGATTATAATTTAAAGCCATTATTAGTAAAAGAGGAACTTTACCAGGTATTTTCTAAGGCTCGCTTACAAAATAACCACGGAAGTCAAATCAAATTTGGAATAATTTAATATTAAAAAAAGTGAGACAAAGTTAAGCAAGACCTAATTGAATTATTGGTCAAAATGTGCCTTGCTTGTTCTAGCGGAATTAATGTTAAACGATTAATGGTTGCTGGAACACCAATAAACACAAAATCTTTTACGTTACCAATCGTTGCTAACACTCATTAGTTAACCCTAACCTTGCTTACTCGAAGCAATTAAAACGTGGTCTTTTACCAAACTTTCATAATTGTTACCTTTTATCAAGGAGCTATACTTGTTGCTTTTATTAAAGCACTTTAAACAAAGAAAATAAAAACACGTTTTATTTTTATTTTTATTTTATTTTTAAAAGTTATTAACGATTAATAAAAATAATGATTTTTGTCACAGAGTTTTATTTTATTAGAATGTTAATTATCTTCTGCGAGGATCAGAATTTACGCTTTCTCGAGCGAAGACCAGAAGTTATTCTTAATGAAACTTTCATTGATCACCACAATAAAGATAAAATGGAAAATTAAAGGTTTATTACTTTTATTACTGCAAAATTGACTTAATCATAATTATTTATACAGAAGCTTTTGCGTAAAATTTTCATTTGATAATGGTTACAATTGTTTGATAATGAGTAGAATAACTGAAGAGGTTGGAATACACGAGAATAAAAATAAGAAAAATTGTTTTTTTTTGAGTTTTTTATGTGACTTAATGGCAACATTTCGTCAAACAACAACATTAATATTAATAATTAATATCCCTGTAAAAATCCGTGATTTGAAATGGAAAGATTACAATGGAAAGATGGGACTTTGTCACTATTGCAAATTCGTGGAATTAAAATTCAAATAACGGACTATTTTTTCTTATTTGAATTATTCGTTTCATTCGAATTATTCATTTAATTCAAATTACTTATTTTATTTGAAATACCCATTATTGTTATTATATTCATTTTATTCGAATAAACATTTAATGTATTTTGAAATACCCAAATTCATAACAAATAAAACCAATCATTTGAATAAACTTTATTTGAATAGGATTCGATTTGTTCAGAGCCTTAATTATGAATTCTTAGTCAGGAAAGTAAAGTTTCCCCAATTTTAAACATAGTGAACCCATTAATCTTACTTTTTTAAAACACCAAATCCATGCAATTACCCTATTAATATGAAGAAAAACAACTGCACAAACATCTTTGGTCAGCAGTGGTTGACCATGTAAATAAAAGACTAAATTATTTTTTTAACACATGATTTAAATATACATTTTGGCAACTTGATATTTAAAGAAAAAAAAATAATGATTGATAAGATTCATTTAAATGATTTCATGATAAGGTTACACATTTCAATCAAGCCACCATCACTATTGATATACAGATTATAATTAGATTACATCAAGATTACAGGGAATCATTATGTTTCTGAAGTAATTTTTAAATTAAAATACTTGAAGAAAAATTTCATTAACATTGTATGTATGCTAAAGCATTCATTCCAAAAGATGAATTATCCAGAGAACCTTGAATAATTAAGAAAGACAAATAAATCATCATGGTGAGGCATTATTGGGGTAGCTGGAATTATTTGTGTTGGTTCACTTTGTCTGGTTTTGTTGCAGTGTGCCCTCATATATTATTAACTCAAATCAATTGCAGATTTCCTTAATAAACCAATGAATGATGTAGCCCATTCTAGTGATAAAAGTACCCGAACCTTTATTTCATTGCAGTTTTTTTGAAACATTACATCAAATAACCATAAATATTATTATTTCATCATCCAATGTCTCTATAATCATCACCAACATTATCATAATTATTATTAGTATTCCTATAACCACCACCACCACCACTAGATTTTTTTTCAATGTATAATTTTGGATTATTTATTGCTTTCTCAACAGTCAAACAAAGATCAACCCAAGAAGCACTGTAAGCATGCATTTTTCCAAAAAATAAATAATCATATCCTACAAAGAAAAAAAAATACATTGTTAATAATTATATATATATATATCAATGATTATTTTCAAAAAAAATAAAATAAAAAAAAATAAAATAAATAACCTATTCTTCCAACATTAGGTAATGCTAATCTAGCAGACTCATGTATTCTTCTTCTTATACGTGCTCTAACTGTAGCCAATTTACTAACCTTTTTCTTGGACACAATTACTTGTAATCTATAATTTTTAATTTCTTTATTTGTTTTTTTTGCTTTGAATAAAAAAATTTATATGTAATAAGGGAAAAAATTAGTTAGAGAAAATTTGAAAGAGAATAATAACTAAAGATTTTAATATAAAAAAATTAATTAGAAAAATCACCAAAAAACTTTTCATTTTTATTCCATTTTCTTATAGTTAATGAAAAATGTTCTGTTACAATGCTTGTTAAATATCTACTTTTTAGAATTAATTTAACAGTTTCTCCATCAATTGTGTGTGTCTATAAATATTCATTACAAAGAAAAAAAAAATATAATCATTGAGAAGAGAAGATCAATCCAATAAGCAAATTAAAGTGAAAGTGAAAGTGGATAGATATTACATCATTTTTTGGTAATATTTTTTTGATTTGATTATCAGGCTCTAAAAATATTTATTAAATAATAAAAGATATTATAATCAATATTATCAATGCAAATTAATATAAATAATTGTGACCTTTTTTCTTGATATCTTTTACATCTTTAACTAATTCATTACAATCATTATTTGATGATAAAATTGTAGATGTGGAAAAATATAGATTATTGTTTGTTAGTGATGTTCTTAATAAGTTTATTGACTTTATTGAATTTGATGAGTTTGAGGTCAAGAATGAAAAATTAATTGTGGAAAACAATAACTGTTGCTTTTGTTGCTGTAATGATGGTGATTTTAATAAAAACATTTGTTTAAAAAACTTGTATCACTTTAAAAAATAAGTTTCGAGTGGCTTTTTATTTTGAAACTAGCCCATAGTTTAGGCCTAATTTCACTAATAAATTTTCTGGTGAAATTGGCGAAACTTAAACCGCGGGCAAGACAATTCAACCCTATTATTACTATTGTTTAATTTAAACAAAAAAAGAATTAAATTATAAAAATCAAATTTAGTAAATTAATAATCAATTTTCATTATTATTATAATGATAATAATCTTTGAATTTAAAGCTTTTGCTTATTCATTTTTATTGTGAAAAATTTTAGATTAATGGCAAAATAAGAAAACACAGGACAATTCCAAAATTGAAGAGATAATAAAAAGAAACCAAATCTATACCATATACATGATTACATGGAAATTATTACATTGATAAATTCAATCGATTTTCATTTTATGATTTCTTTTAAGAACCAAAAATTTATATTGGATAAAGTTTTAACTTGAAATTAAAAATATAATTATAATTATTTTAATCTTATAGTTATATATATTGTTGAAGATTTTGAAAGTAACATCTTTGATATAAAATAATATAAAAAAAGATCTTAAAATTCATATTTTATAGTTTAATTGGAAACCAAGTTGTGAATTGATAAGTTTTATTGACTTTTGCACCAGATGGGAGAATTAATTCATGAGTAATTATTTTAGAGCTTGTAGAATTGGGTATAAAAGTCTGGTTATTATTGTCATTAATTGTAATTAACTGGTCATTCTGAACATTATCATTATCATTATTATTATTTTTCAAAATTTTAATATTATCATCATCAATGATGTCTTTATGACTAGTATCTACTACAGCTTCAGTATTACTATCACTATTGGTATATTTGTAGCTATTAT